ATCCTGTGGATGCAAATCCTGGCCGCCGGTCCGTGCCAGGAACTTGAGCTGCAATCCCGAGAGGGCAGCAGGCTCCAAGCACTGAGGCCTCCCCCTCGTCATTCCCGGCCTCTGGAATCCTCTTTAAAGCCTCATCAGGACAGGGGGCACCAGTGGCTCTGTGGGACCCCCAAAGCCAGGCAGGTGTGGGGCAAAATCAGCAAATCCCGGGATGCCGTCCCAAAACCTGCACCACTTCTGACAGATGGGTTGGTGCCATGTTGATTCAGACTGCCTGGCTCTGTCCCAAAACCTCCCAGCTCCCGTTTCGATGGAGATTCCCAGGCTCTGGGCAGGTGATAAGGTGCGAATGCGGACCTGCCCACCGCGTGTGGTGACCCGCAGCCCCAGGAATAACCCAATTCCCACCTGCCCGTCCCAAGTCCTTTCCAGGTCACCTCAACCCCCGCCCCCTCCGCAGCCCCGAGGTTTTAATCAATCCCAGGTGAAACCTAAACCTCCAGCGAGGGGAATGTGCTGCTCCAAAGGCAGCGGGATGAAGGTCAGGGTGCTCCCTCTGGAGCTTCTGCCGGGAGAGGGACCAGACGAGCTGGGGGGATGCTCCGGGAAGCACTTTTTGAGGGGATGCAGGAGTTATGGATGGATGGAGGGGAGAATTTCATTTGGATTTCCAGGATTTCAGCCTCCACGGCTCTTACCCCCTCTGCGTGGGGTTTCTTGGAGGGGAATTGTGGGTTTAACAGCACCGTTTCCTTCAAGTAAATAAAATTGTCTACTTATTGTGTGAGATTCCCGAGACCTCCCAAATCCCACAGTGCTCACGAGGGCCCACGCTGTGCCAGGATCTCTGACTGCCACTAAATAATTCACTGCCCAAAGCCCTGAACTTCATCTCTGCTCCGGGAGAACCTGGAGGAGTGGGGTGGGGACATTCGGATTCTCCAAATGTGTGAGAGCACGTGGATCCAGTTGTGATCCAGCTTGGAAAGGGAATTCCCAGTCCCCTGCCTCAGTTCCCCCCGTGTTGGTGGGAGGTTGAGAGGCGGAAGAGCAAAGGGCTGCGAGTGTTGGTTGGGAAACACCCGGAGCCCGGCTGGAGGCTGAGTCTGTGGAGGATGGGTGGGGTGGGATGCTCCACCATGGATGCTCCACACCCTCTGCTTGGGGTGTGGTGCGGGATCCAGTTTGGGATGCAATTTAGGAGGCAGTGACGTGGTTTGGGATGCGATTCCATTTGGGACGCGGTGCGGGATCCAGTTTGCGATACGGTATGGGAAGAAGCTGGGATGGAGTTTGGGATGTGACTCGGTTCGGGACGCGATGTGGGGCCGCAGTTTGGGATGAGATGCGGGGCGCAGCGGAGACGCAGAGCGGGCTGTGGATCGGGATGCGCTGCGGGATCCTCACTTGCGGGATGCCCCAGGACGCTCCCCGTCCCCGGCAGGGCCCCGTACCCAGAGCGGGGCTGGCAGCAGCACACCCAGCACCGCCGG